TTTACTTAACTTATATATAAAACTAAGCTATGTCGGATTCATATAAGATTTTTTTGTTCTGTTAGTGTTAGTTTGCCTAATAATTATCGGTGCACTGCGCACCGAAACAAATTTTTATATTTTACTTAGCGTATTATAAAATGGCAGTAGAAAATAATATTGAGTGTAGAAATCTACCACCTTTAAATACTAATAGAAAATTTGAGGCAAGAAAATCAATCCTACTTTATTAATTGTGCAGCATTTTTGCTATTAGAATTGCTGATTTTTTCCCTCAAACTAAATACATTTGAGTTGTACTCGGAGTTGTATCAGAACCGTACGAATAAATTAAAAATATTTTAAAACAATAAAAATAGAAATAAATATCTCAAAAATAATTGGTCTTCGGTCTCGAATCTCTTACTTATCTCTTATATTGTAAAAATAAATATGAGGACCTCTTTCTTTGTTTACTATAAACTTTTACAAAATCGCTTTAAAATTAAAGAAGCTTTAGGATTGAAAGAAAAGATTTCCCGCTGCTTTTATTTGCAAACGTTTAAATCCTTTCTGAGATGCCCCCTTACTGATCTTGAAAAGGTCTTGCTTTGTTCCCGTGAGGTAAAGAAAATAAAAATGTTTGGCGAGTATTTATCCTTTTAAAGTTTTTGACAAACACAATTTTATAAGGACGTGTGTACAGAGTATTCTAGCTTTTATTAGACCCTTATAATATTTTTCAAAATGAAATTAGGATGGCAGCTGTAATTATATGTGAGCTACTTAATAAGCGTATTTTTAAGCATGAAGAATATATCTTAAATTTGTTATTTTAACACTTTCAAGACAGTGTTCGTATATAAAAAACAATTATATTCCATTAAAACTGTATCGTGTTCTGTTGTATTCACACATTAATTTTGCATTTTAAAAATATGAAAATTATTATTGGTTTGGGGGTGAGTGTGTTTTACAACAGTGTATCAACCTGTATGTACCATTAGTCCCACGGAATTGCTATTATGTGTACCACCAGTACTAAATGTTCATACTCGTGTACTTACTTTTATTATTCATCAAAAGTGTTTAGAAACAAAAACAATATTAGAAAAATGTCTTTATTATAATACAAGTGTACAAATACATGTAATAATTCGCGAAACAGTTTTTGAACAGTGATATGTCGCATTCTTAGCACATTGTTTTTGTTCTTGTTTGTTTTGTATTATCGCAGCTTCTCTTGCAACGCCTCCTTGTTCTTTCTTCGTGCGACAAATACAAGGACACGTTCTTCAGGGTCTGTCTCTTTTTCGATTGGAGTCCTTTCTTCAACGATCGTCTAACCGAAGTTGTTTTGATGCCTTATCTTCTTCTAAAAGTCACTGATGATATCCATAAAGCCTGCGATTATAATTTATTGACTATCTTAGTCCTTCTGGATTACCCTAAAGCATTCGATCTTATTAACCACAAACTCCTACTAGCGATCGTGCATTATCTTGGATTTTTAAGAAAAACAACCGCCCTAATGAGTAGTTGTTTGGATGAGCGAACTCAAGCCACCGTGTTAAATAAAACAACTTCTGAATTTTTAAACTTCTGCTCTGGGATTCCTCAGGGCTCAATTTTAGGACCTTTTTATTTGTCATCTATACATCACAGTTGCCACTTGCTTTAAAATACTGTGCATCTCATACTTATGCAGATGACACTCAACTATACCTTTCCTTTGAAAAAGAAAATATTTAAGAAGCTTGCGTAAAAATTAATGCTGACCTCATCTCTCTTGCTAGACTTTCTGACAAATATTGTTTAAGTATAAATCCAACTAAATCCGTAGTCCAGTTATTTGGACGTCCTACAGATAGAAAAAAGATTATTAATTATGTGAACATTAGCTTGGATGGTCAACCACTGCCGCTTCTTTCACGTGTTAAGAACCTAGGTATTCATATAGATAATTCACTTCGCTTCTCGTCTCGTGTGATAAATATTGTAAAAAAATCCTATAGTAGTTTAAAACTCCTATATTAATCGAATTAAATTACCGGTTTTGAGCTTACATTAAATTGTAATTAGATGAAACAAAATGGATTCTATGTATTTTGAGGTGATCTTTTCGAAAAAAGGCAAAACAAAATGTAGCAGTTTTTCGAAAGTGCCGAAATTTTGGATTTTGTCAATTTTTCAAGTTTGCGCAGAAATATAGCAGTGCACTGCAAACAGTCTACCATTCGAAACTAAAGACAAAGCATATTTTTTTCAGGTTATGTAGATCGTCTACATGAATATTTTAGGCGTAGTAAACATTACCAAACGGACTGGTACACATTAAAACTACCAATAATGTAAAACAGAAAATTCAGTCTTTTTCAAAACACTGATGGTACATATGAGTACCAATCAGTTCGAAAGGGTTAAATAAGACATCCAATTTATTATAACCTTTTCCAATTTCTTGATTTATTTTATATACTTTTTATGTTGTCTGTAATAATTTCTAATGAATTCAAGCTTACAATAACTTATGTTCATTGTCATGTTAGTCTTGTTTTATTTTTAAGATCATTGAAATTTAATAGTTTTGTAGTATAATACCATATTATTGAGATGACCCTACGAAAATATTAAGAGTTAAAATCTGAAGGTTGGTTGTGCATACCGTATTTTCAAGATGGTCCCATAAAAATATTAAGGATACAAATAATTCATTTTATATTTAATCTACTTCCCAAGTAACAATTTTAAGAGAATAAAGTTTTAAATTTTTTATTACGATTTTTTAAAAGCATAAATATTAACAATTATTTTATTACAGTTTTTTTTTTTGCTAATAGGACTGCAGAATAAATTGATCTTATTACTTGGTTTTATAGATTCCTTTAAACCTGTTAAAGAAAACCAATTTATCCTAAAGTAAACTATGCTTTATCGCTGTCCTGTAAGGGTTAATTAATAAGTAATTTTAAAACTATTTAATTTTAAGATACTCCTAAGATGTGTTTGGTGTTAAAGAGGCATACTTTTTAGCAGTTATCTTAAGTAGGTTTTAAAACTTAGTTTTAAAAAGTGTTTTAGGATTATACTTTAAACTAAATTGATCCCAGAACATTTTAGGTACATTTTCTACAATTTTACAACATAACTCTTATAATTTATTTAATCTAGTAAAACATAGGGCTCTTTTAAAACTACATAGTTTTAATAAGAATTAAAGTTTTGTTTTAGAGCATTACCTAGCTTTTCAACCCGATCACATTATGTTGATGTTGAAAGATAAATTGTTCAAAATAAAGAAAAGTGGTAATTTCCATAGAATATATATGTTTCTCCTTTTCCTCAGTGTTTAATAGGTTCATTGTGTTCCATTCCAAATATTAAAACATTCCTAGACTCCTAATATTCTGTAAATGATCAGTGAAAGAGAAACATGGTTAAAAGGGTGGAGCGAAAAATAGAAGTTTCGAAAATCGTTTTGGAATAGCGCACAAAAGTTGTTAATTGGTATTCCAAAACTAATGTCTATTTTCGGGTTTTCAAAATTTTTTCATCTTCTGCCCTCTACAGGGCTTTGAAAAAATAAAAAAAATAAAATATCCAAAGCCCGATAAAGGACAGAAGATGAATTAATTTTGAAAAACCGAAAATAAACATTAGTTTTTTTAATACCAATTGGCAACTTTTGCGCACTATTCCAAAACGATCTTCGAAACTTAGGTTTTTGGCTTATTTATTTATTTTTCTTTTTTTATTAATATTGATACTGAGAGTTAACGCTACGGTAAACACAGCAGTTCTTCGCTTATTTAAACAATATTCAATTTATATACGAAACATAAATATTGAATATTCAGTATTGTTTAAACAACCCAGAACTCACCACGGGAAGGTAACTGCTCGACGAGTTCCATCCCACCCTCTCTCATCCATTTCGATTATTTATTGTTTATAGTCTTTTTTTGAGTAAAATTTTGGCATAAGTTTGCGAGAATCTATTTTTGCTTTAATAAAACTGTCTCTTTTTTGTGATCCAACAACTGATAAAGATGCTTCTGTAACAAGTTTCACACATCTCTCTACTGATTGGGTGTGACAGGGAAATGCAGCGATTTCGATGATTTTTTTCAGGAGAACCGGAAATAATATTTTTCAAATCATCCACTTCTAAAGTTTGAAGCAATAGGGGACAAGTTATTTATTTTTTTTGCCAATCAATCAGATCAACATAGTCATCTGCGTCAAAATTAATTTGTGGAATAATAAAAGGTCTGACATTGGTTAGTTTTTGCAAGTGCAAGTTCTTTTATATGAGGGCGAGTGTCATGCAGCATACATATCAGAAGATTTTCCTGATGAACAAAATAGGCATTTATTTGAATGACAGGATCTATAACACTTTTCAAATCTTGCTCTAGGTACCGACTACGTTTTATCGTTTGTAAAACATGCTTTGCACCATTTACACATAATAAGTTGCATTTAGTTTAAAACCACAAAGGACTATAAACCTTGACAATAACTTTGGTCAGTTCCTTTAATTCTGTAGTTGGATTTATGGTACTTACATAAAGATGTAATATGCGATTGGCCAAAGTGAATCATTTAGAATGACTTAACTTTTCTGGGCTTCGGTTCAATAAATCCACGGAGCAATTCCCTGCAACATAAATTTCAAACAGATATTTTTGATCTGCACTTTAGTCAAGGAAATCTGCTTCTGGTAACTCACGGTCAATATTATTATTGTTTACAACTGGCATATTTTCGCACTGCACTATTTGCTTTCCTATAATTCCTGCAAAAGCTCTTGGACCCATAGTTTGACCGTCCAACTTCTGAAACAGATGCCTTAAAGGTAATTCATTAGCGTGAAGCTGGCAGACAAATCTTTGTAAAAGGCGTTCTAATTTTAATTATAGTTGAGAAATTGCACCATTTTTTCCCGTATTTCCAGATTATATCCAGTACTTTCTAAAAAAATACTTTGACAAATGCTTAGAGCCAATCCAGAAAAGGGCCTAAAAATATAGAGCCCGGCCTTGAACTAAAGATATGTGTTCTTCGAGTATGGTTTTTCTGTGGTACTTGCCTTCAATATTTTCGATTACGAAGGTTTTATCTTTCCTTCCGTCAAAGTATATAGCTTTGAAAGTTTCTGAGGAGTTTTGCGTAAAACTTTTTCTTGGTTGCTCTCTTGCTCTTCTCAGCTTACTTCTGTCTATTACGTTTTTTGCATTGGCATTGAAAACAATTCCAAGGTCGTGTAGCACTGCAGTTGCCACTGCTGCTGCAGCTCTATCCGATAATCCATAGCGGTCACAAACTTTGGCCAAGGTGGTAAGTTTGACGTAATTTTGTATACACTGCATATCTGTATTGATACTGTCATAGGAAGTGGAAGGCAATTCATGATCTATCTTGATATCAGTTTCTGGCTTTCTTGATAAATTGATGTTGCTTACATGTTGGACGGATTGTTCTAGTTCTTTCCTTTGCATAAATTTGTCCATTCTGCTGCCCTATCAGCTTTGAGGTTTCCTTTACATCAATGTTTCTAATAATCATTTTTCTATGCCCCTCTGATCTAGTAAAAAATCCCATTCATTTTTAGGTATCTTTTTTTTTCTTATCGCAAGAACATTGTTCAAAAATGTCGCATTTGCAAGCCACTGTGTATAGGGCGAAAAATGTTATCAATTAATTTTATTATACATTAAATATCTTAAAATCACATGGCTTAAATTTTAGTAATAATTTCAGCAATTTTTTTTTTGTAATTTTTCAATGGCTGGTAGAGGGCAAAAGATGTGCTTTCATCAAAAAGTTGTATAAATACATTTTTGTCAACATTATAAAAGGTAACTTTTGGTATTTATTTCAAATCGATTTTTCAAATTTTTTAAAATTTTGCGATTATCGCTCCACCCTAATGGTTAACATATTATTAATTTTTATATTTTGAATGACTTGTTCGTCGAGTAAATAAGAAACTCAAGAGTGAGGTTAGGTTATGCTCGTCTGATTGAACTTATGAATGTTTTATTGAGGTTTTTGTTTTTACTATTGTTTTATGAAACGCTTTAAAAAGTGTAGCAGGAGCTTTTTAAAACTGGAACGTCCTAAAAAGTATTTTTTTGCTTTATTAGTTTTATAAGCTAATGTTTGTTTTTAGTTACAGATAGAACACAATGAGGAAATTATCCATTTTAAATATGGCACTGGCTGCTTAACCACATATCATGTAAAATAGTACCTGTCTACCAAACCTGTACCTAAAGAATATCCAAATAAATTAGGGTCAAAATTCAAATAATTTGTGTACCAAAGACAGTGATAGTGTGTCAATGACAAAAGTGTGTCAATGACAACAGTGTGCCAATAACAACATTGTGCCAATGACAGTAAATTTATTTCCAAAGGAAAGACTTGTATTTCGTGCAAAACTTTTTAATTAATAAATGCAAAGCGCTTTCGGCATTTTGCCATCATCAGTGATTATTGTCCACAAACGTATCCAACAAGTTTCTGGTCATCCTCACTCCTAAAATTAGATATTTCAGTGTTAAACAATTTTAATAAAAATGAATATATATAGAAATTTAAATTTGAAAATATTACTAATAGTAATAATCATGATTTAGAAAGTTGTAATTATCCTGAAATATCTCATTTTGAGAGTGAGGATGACCAGGATGACCAGCACTGATGATGGTAAAATGCCGAAAGCGCTTTGCATTTCTTATTTAAAAAGTTTTGCATGAAATACAAGTCTTTCCTTTTGAATCTAACTACGTGCATACAACTGTCAACCTTTTTTGGTTATTTTAAAGTAAATTTATTATTTATGATTGAGTTTACTACGTCTAACCACATAATGTCAAATTTGTCAAACATATCTACAGCTAATTCCTTTTAGGGTATATAAATATAATCAGTGGCGGCTCGTGGTAATTTGAAATGGGTGTTCACTTTTTCCAATAATTTTATCATTTGTAAGTTCGGATCAAAACCTTGTACAAGGGTCAATATCACTGTTTTTTTATTATTTGAGTTTGTATTAAGTGTAATTATTATTATCAACATCATACTGTTTTCAAGCATTACAACTATTAATAAATGAATATTTTATTTAGTGTAATATTTGTTTTTTTTAATACGTTGAAAACAATCTAAACATTATTAGTTAGTAAACTGACTTTTCCTCATAATTTGAGATTATTTTTAAATATATATCAGGTAATGTAGAAACTTTACATTGATTTTTGTGTAAAAAATTTTATATGAAATTTTACCTACCATTTTTTAGTTTTTATTGAATGTTTAATCATTTTCACAATTTGTCACAGATGTCAAATAAAAAATATATTTTTTAAATACCTTTTATTGGCAAATAAAATAAGAACTAAAATGTTTTAAATGTTTATTTTATAAGATCAGTCCCATCACAATACATAATATTACACAGACACAAACTAGAATAAAGATATATAACGCCTGGCATTCTAGAGGATACTCTTCGTAGTTTAACAGACCCCCTTAACCCCCATTTTCAACCAGATTGTTTTCACAATCAATAGGCCTCATCGGCTTTTAGAGATTTATGTTTGCTAAACATTTCAAGTTTATATCATTTTTCAGTTAGGATTTTTTTTTATATTTTAACCCCCCTTAATTCCCCCATATATTCATATTTTTTTCAGTATCAATAGGCTTTATCTTCTTATAAAGCTTAATTTTTACTAAAAATTTCATGTTGATATCGCTTTTCGTTTTTAATTTAGGATTTTTTTAATTTCAACCCATCTTAACCCCCTATTTTTAATCAGATTTGTTAAAAATCAATAAGCTTTGTCCTCTTATAGAGCTTGATTTTTGCTTAAAATTTTCAAGTTGATTTCATTTCTCGTTTTTGACTTATCGTGTAGACAAAAAACCTGACATCGGACAGACAGACAAAATAAACCTATAATACTCTTCACAGAATACTGTATGAAGAGTAGAAAAAAAAATGTATGAGGTAAAATAAACAATTTAAAAAGGTCAACAATAATATTCAACTTCTTTTATCAATGGATACTAAAAGTTTGAAATAGCAGCACATAATTGAACACAGAGCACAGAAATCTGTGAACTAAACTAGTGAGATGCATATCGTAAAATGTTATCACACTTAATTCTCCATATGACACTTTCTAAGTGTATTTCACAGAACATTCCAAAGTATTCTTGCTTTCACTAATGTCCTACCCTCATGGCTGCTTTTGCATGTCCAAGTTTATTAAAAAATAATGTGTTTTAATAAATAATAGAATAATAACAATTTTGTTTAAATAGGTAAATCGGCTTCATCTGTATTTTTAAATTATTGTTATAAGAACTAACTTTTATTTTATTAAACAAAATATATACAACACAAATATTACAAGATTAATTAATAAAATATTACAACTTCTTCTTCCTCTTCCTCTTCCTCTTCAAAATGTACTAGATTCGTCCTTTACTACTCTCCTCGGGTTACGTATGCGTCAGTTGAACAGAAGAGAATTTTGGGTGCTGCCATCTGCGAGTGTGGACTTGAACTTACCGGTGTAATCATGAACGTAATCCTGGTTGCCGATACTTCAGGGGCGCACGGTTATATTCTCCCCCTCTGGTTGCGAAGTCTTCTGGACGAGGAAACAGTAACTCTTTGTAACCGGGTGCCTAAGGGAGATTCGTCGGGCGTTACATGGAGTAATGGTTTTGTAACTTTCCGTGGTCTACCTCGCCTTCTGATAGGTTTCACAGGTTCAGGGGTGTCGATGTCACCGACAAATGGAGTTATGCTAGAGGCATGATATACCCCTAGTGGCGTTTCAGGTTTGCCAAGCTCAGCTACTTCATAACTGGCAGGACCTCGTTTACGTAGAATGAGATATGGTCCATCTCGACGTGGTGCAAACTTGGAGGAAAATCCTTTGGCTGCGTTACTTAGATTGTGACTTTTAATCCAAACCCGGTCTCCTTTATTGTAGGTGGGATGGAGACGTCTACTGGCGTGCTGCATAGATAAGTTATGGTCCTGTTTTAGCTCGGTAACTTCCTTAGCTAGTCTTAGTGAGGAAACAAGTTGTTGGAGTTTCGGTGTAATTTCTTCAACAAAATTCTCATTACTTACTACTGCACTTAAATCGTCAGTTACATCTTGAATTGTTCGCAGCTCTCTGCCAAAAGTCAAATAGGCTGCAGTTTGCTTCGTACTATCACACGGCGCCGAATTCATAGCGAAACGAATAGCGGGTAGATGAACTGGCCATGTGGTGTGGTCGTTTCCGAGCAGAATACCTAATTGTGTTTTCAAGTCTCTGTTTTTGCGTTCTACCATGTTAGTCTCTGCGTGATATAGAGGTATGAAGGTCTGTTGAATGCCAAGACAAAAGGTCAACTGTTGCATTACAGCCGATATAAATTGTGTACCATTGTCGCTGATAAGCCGTCGTGGCAACCCGTATCGTAGGAATACCTCATTTAACAATGTTTGGGCACAGTTCTCAGCAGTAGCTTCCACTAAAGCGAAAAGTTCAACCCATCGACTGGCTGTATCTTCAATGATTAATATCCACCTCTGTCCATAAGATGATCTTGGTAATGAACCAAAAAGGTCCACCGCTAATACTTCGAAGCGCTGATTCACAACGTGGGTTTGCATTAACCCTGAAGGTTTTCTGTTAGATATTTTATATCTTTGGCACTCTAAACATGTGCTTATATGTTTGGCGATATCTTGTCGCATCTTGTTCCAATAATAACGTTTGGCTATTCGAGTCGTAGTCTTATCAACTCCATAGTGTCCGGCGGTGGGATTGTCATGGTAGGCAAATAAAATATTTCTTACTTCACTCACTGGGACGACTAGTTTGCCATCATCATTTTCTTGCTCATCAGTGTATCGGAAGAGTACGCCTTTATGAAGGAAATATCCCCGGTTAACCCATCTTTGGTTAACTTCTTCATTGTCTACATTTTCCAATGCGTCTATAATTATCTTTAGGTTCGAATCCTCTAACTGCTGGTTTCTAATTGTCTTTTCGGTCTTGCTAGGAAGATCTATCTGAACGCTACAAACTTGACATTCATTAGTATGATCTTCACAAGGTGGCCTGGAGAGAAAATCTGCAATCTTGTTGTGCTTTCTAGGAGCATATCGTACATGTAAATTATATGCTTGTAATCGGAGAGCCCACCGAGCTAGCCTTCCGGTTGGTGTCTTAAGAGTAAGTAACCATTTTAAGGGTTGGTGATCGCTTATTACTACGACTTCCGAACCTTCTATATATCCACGAAATTTTGACACTGCCCATACAATAGCCAATGCTTCCCGTTCTGTAGTGCTGTAGTTTCTTTCAGCGTTATTTAGGAGTCTGCTGGCGTATTCGATAGGGTGTTCATTTTCACCCTCCCCCTGGACTAAAACTGCTCCGAGGGCGTAGGCACTAGCGTCTGTTTTTATTATAAATGGCTGTGAATCATC